TCCTGAAATTATCTTATGTAAATTGCATAATAATACAGAAAGAGAATAGCCATACTGAAAATATTATCTTTGTAGATGCAACGTAGGTAAAAGGGGTATGAAAATTTTATTTCCAAGTAGAGTTGATTGAGACTGTTATGTGGAGATACAGTCGCTTCAAATTTAAATTAGTTATATTAAGAGATCATAAATTAAAGTAGCAGTTTATAAAAAAATCTATACTGCCAATTTTTAAAACTTTTCTATATTTTTATTAAAAATATAGAGGAAATTCTTTCTCAAAGTGTGCAAGTACAAATGTAGGTATTTATATTTAATTATGATTTTCTAGTAATCATGAAGTGCTCCTTAATATTACGTTTTAGATTTGGCTTTTAGCATAATTCGTACAATTTTTCTCTATAATGTATATCAAAAACTATGTCATTATATATGGAATAAAAATTTTTTATGTAAGAATTATTTTTTTGTGTAAAATATTCAATATGAATTGTATTAAACTTGAGCTATCGTTGCATATTTTACCGGCATCTACCGCGACCGCTATGTTCGTTTACTTGAGTTCAATTACTCCTATAACTCAGCGTGCGATAAATAAATTCAGTTATTGAGCAATTAAACGATGATGTACATGGCATACTAAAAAAGCATCGCATTGACCTAGCCTTGAGAAGATTACTGAAGGATAAGTTCATGTTTTCATATGTCCCGCTTAATATTTTATATAACTTTCGTTTAAAACATTTTTCCATGACTCTACAGTCGTTTTCAAAATATAAAACCTGGGCAGACTTTATAGACACTTATATATTGTGGAACAAAAAATCTTTTCTTTTCCAATGTAATTCGCGTCATGTTTTAAAACAAGCATTTAAAAAATAATTTTTTTCACAAAAAATTAAGGATGAAATCTATAGGTTTGCTCAATAAAACTTCGAGATGATCTTAAGTTAGTACTTGAGATATCATAAATCAATGATAGCTAAATATTTGCATCTTAAGACATTGCTTGAGACGGTCTTGAAATTAAGAATAGACTATAAATTCTTTAGGATGCATTTTATTCACCTGATGAATAAATTTAGACGGATTATATATCTTTTCTTAAAAATATATTCTTTTCGTTAATCAATCTAAGCAAATTATATTATAATCCCCAATGTTAAGATAATTTCCCCGAATGTCATGTAGCCAAGCATTTTCCGCTCTCTGTCCCGTGAATAATAATCTTAGTAGGCCATTCAGGATTAAATCGAGCGAATCCTTTAGTTCAGTAGCATCACCCACTCATAGAGAAATAGATTGCTTCTTATTATTCTAGGTATAAAGTTCATAATATTTTTATATCTTCTGCTTTAAAATCTAAATCAATTATATTGCCGATCGTTGCACAATCATTTGCAATAATCGATGTCAGATTTAAAAAGATCTGCAAGAAAGATCTCTTTTTTTCGAGATGGTAAACCTTAAAAATTTTGAATTGATGATCGCAACAACTCTGCTATATTAAAAGATACATCTAAAAAGAAATGGAAAGTAATAAGAATAAATTATACATTTATGTTCATTAGTAAAACTAAATTATATTTGTGACAAAGTTGAAATTATTTATATAAGAACCATCTTACTTAGCAACAAAAATATGAGGAACATGCAATAAGAGACATTGTAATATTTCTAAATGTTTTTATTAGACATGTTTCTTTTATATCTTCATATTAAAGAACTTCCGGTATTTGTTCACCCTAATTTAAACAGAGCATTATTATAAAAAAAATCTAAAAATTTAAATCAGTCATTTAATTGTACTTTTCCTATATGTTTAGTAGAACTTAACAGGATTTTTATCCGTAACTTTATTATCTTTAGGATAAAAAATAAAGAATAAAAAATATTGATATTTATTGTCAGATCTTATTGCTATTTTATGAGACAAT